AAAACTGTATGACATAAAAAAGAGAATAAAAGTGTTTTGAAAAAAGCTATTAACTGAAGTGGGGTTTTTGAATTTTTCTTTTCTTTGGAGCAAAAGGAAAAGCCGAGAAAACATTAATGTTTAAAACTTTAGTTGCAATTTAATTGAAGGATTACTTACAATAACCCAACCAGTTCAAATTCCAGATTTTTCAGGCGGCATCAAACACATTACAGCGTGGACGTGCATGGCAATGAATCAATGATTTTCCCCACACTATATCTTTCAATGTGTTTAGCAGTAGCCGCAAGGATATACCTCTGCCCGTTGTAGAGAACTACTTGGTGAAATATCTCAAAATATGGAGTGTTGAACTTGTTTGGCTCTTGTCAGAAACTCTTCAGTTATTTATTTTAATTGCGAACTGTGTGTTGACTTCATTAGCAATAGTCCATAGAACAATAATAAGTGATTAAGCCAGCGGTATTAAAGTTTTACAATTATTAATTTAATTATCTCTTATTAACTAACTTAAAAAACTAAAAGATTAAAATCATTTCAAAGAACTGTCTCAATAGTTTTATTAAATTTTGAATAGCGGAAAGTAGTACACAGTGAGACGAAAAAAAGTTGAAAAAATGCTGGCTGGTTTTAATTTTAAAGTATGAAGAGTTTTGATAAATAAATAGAGATATTGTCAGTTATCAATATTGATACCTGACAATATCTCTATTTATTAATCAAAATAAAAAAGGTATCTACTTCACCAACAATCCAATTAATATGAAGAATTTATTTACACATCATGAAAAAAATTAAGTTGCCTACAAATCTGCAAATTCAAAGTATTTAAGTATTTTTAGAAAAACCTCATAAGAGTCTTGTTGAGTATCGCGCGTAAAGTGGTACAGATTCCAGTTTTTTTAGTCTACAGACTTTCGGTTTGTAACATAACGCTGAAGGGTTGATTTTGAAACACTAAAACGCCATGTTGCTCTTCTAAGAGATCCAAATAATACAAAAGCTACTGCCAGTTTCATTTACGCTTCTGAAAATTGGTTACTTTTCGCCCTTTTAACTTTCGTTGCATCTAAAACAATGATAATTTCATTAATGGTGGTCTTACAGGAGACTTAATGAAACATTTAATGTGACATTATTTATTACGAATACAGCAGTACATAGTGACATTGTATACTTTGCGCTTGTCATTAAGTAGTCATCGATCACATGAAATATAACCGTTTTAAACCACGTATAACTACTGATTTTATACCTAAATCGTTACTTTCGCCTACATTGCAAATTAAAAAAATAAATTTGTAGACTCACCTTTTGTAATTCGATACAGAAACAGTAACCAAAGTAATTTTTGACGTCAAAAAAGACCAGCTGTAGCATAACACGTCTTCATTTGAACCCTAACGGCCATCCAGGTGGACTGTGTTCGTGAACGACAGGGTTCTACCTTCCTCTACTTCGTTTCCCCTCGTTGACTGCGAAATGTCGCCCATCTTGTCCACCGTGTGCGGCGCGAGTTGCGAACGCCGGCATCGCGTCTGCATGAGGCAAACTTTAATGACCTCCCCAACACGGAGTACGTGGACGACAACAAGTGAGGCGGAGCGCGCGTATGAAATATCGAACCCGCCTGCGTCAGCGCGCGCTCTCCGGTGGACGTCCTCGACGCCCGTGGAGCAGAGCGGCGCGCGGTGCTTCGCGTCCACCGGATCCGCGTTCACCGGATCCGCGCCGCGCCGGGCACGCTCTCGCAGCACGGCACTTGCAGCTGTGCGACCATCGCCCGCTGGTGGATTCTCTTATGGCAAATCGAAAATTCAGTTCGTACTCGTGCACATTAGTTGTATAACGTGCTTTGTATGCCGGGAAATCTCAAAGTTAACAAAGAGGAAATGTTATCTGGTGACGAACGTAGACTTTTATAAACAGACTTCATGCAATTAAGTTTACATAACAATAAAATAACATTACTTGTACAAATGTGTATGTTAGCAATTTTAATTACATTATAATTTTTATTATAATGGAAATTAATTATCTGTAATAACTTCAATTGTAGTTTTGCATGCACCCTGATGAGGGCCAAAATCCCTGTGCCGAAACGGTGGAATTATTAAAGTATAATTTTATTTATTCGTTTAAGTCTGTTAATAAAAGTCGATATTTGTCATCAGGTGATATTATAACCAAACGTTAACATATCAATGTAAAGAGGAAACGTGTTGAGTTCCTGCTGCTTTTGAGACAGATTTTCTAGGAAGTAATTTGAATTCACAATTCAATCCCTGCTTAAAATGGTGCCTGTAATATTTAACACTAATATCCAATGCACACAGAAATTAAAAGAAAACAATGTATTCTCCTACCTTTCCAGAAGTGTCGATGGTTTTGAGAAACACTCAGGAACTGGGGAAAAATTTAATGAATCAGCTTCGATTTTGATCAAGAAATGCAAATATTTTCTTGCGTTATTCCATCTAATCTCATACTGCACATCACTTTTTGCTACCCAGCTGACCTCACGCGACAACGAGACTCCAAGAAAAGGCCTTACTGTCCGCCATTTAATGTTTGCTATTCACGTGTTGCGTAGTGGGACATCACCTTTTATGATATTCTTGGTACGAGTATGTACAAGATCTATAGTACTGAATATATTCGGTTATAAGTTATTGCGGTGTTTGTGAAGGCTGTTTTTTTAAATATTTAATTTATAGCCCTGTTATCAGTGAGTGTTTTATTTGTTGTTCAGTAGCAGTGTGCATGCTACTTCTTGGAAAACCATTTTGTGTAGATTTGTTCAGCAGCATTTATTTTTTCCGAAGATTGGTACCTAGAGATCTTATATTCGATTTACAAATTCTTGTCGCCAGCCGAAAAAAGTGATGAGAGTACTATCTCTGCTTTTGCAATTCTAGACGTCGTCTACTCTGGGTCTTTCCGACGGTTGCAGATTGATTCCTTGCAGATGTTTGAGCGACACCTCGAACAGCGGCTGAGGGATTCCCCCTTCGGCCCCCTGGCCCTATTCTCTATTATGGGTCGGGAGATGGTAGATTATTTGAATCATCTCACGTAATGTCGAGAGCCAATGGAAAATGAGATCAATGCTCCAACTGGACTGAATCTCAATAGGGAGATTTTGGTATCGCAGAACTGTTAATATATTTTCTTACCCTAAAAAGTTATTAATACCCATAAGTGATTTCACAAAATCAAATTGTAAAAATGATGGTAGATGGTTTTTCCGCTATTTTTACATAGGTGATTCAAAACAAAACTAGTTTTATTTCTAGACTTCGCTTCATTTGCAGCTCTTCTCTCTTTCTAAAAGCATGCATTTCCTCCACGGATCTCCCAAAGGTGATGTCTCCTTTAATCTCCTTTACTTCTAACTTCCCCTTGCGTATAAACAGACGCACCTGAGAGAACCCTTCTCAGAGCTTCACTACCGTTGAACAACCAACCCCTAGAGGAGTATACAACATCGGGTATATTAACTGCTTCTCCTAACACGTTAAACCACTCTCAACTCACACAAATTGACCACGAGAATATTCCTGTTACACATTCCTGCACAGCGTTCCTAAGATAATTGAAATTTTTTTCATTATTTTATTTAAATGAGATGATATTTATCAATATGACTTTTCCTTATTAACAGCTTGTGTCCAATTCTTTAACTTAGTCATACATTCTTGTCATATCTATCTCCCTCTCCCCATATTATCTACATTTCCGGCAACAGGATAAAATTGTGAGTAAACCATACCACTCACAAAGATTAAACATGTCTCATTCGATTCACTGTAACTCAAGATCACTGGAAAAATAATAATTTTTATTTTTAACTTCGATGGTTGAAAAATACCTAAGAGTTTGATTATAGCCGCGCAAGAATCAGACTCTTCAGCATGTAGTTCGCATCACTTCGTAACACTGTGGTTTCGGCAGGTATTTCGATTTCAGGCAGGTATTACCTGGGCAAATCGATATCTGGAATCTTGCATTCAAAATAACAAGGTTTAAAAGTTCCTTAAAAGCTTGATTTGATTCAAGAAACGTATAAAACTGTATGTGAAGAAATTTTTCTAAGTGACTACATAAGCTGGAAAATGAAACGCTTCAATCTAAATAATAATGCCGCTAGTCTTATTGAGTTCTTAACAAAAGTGTAAAGATTGGCCGATTTCTTCCTTGTCTAGAGCTATGATATAAGAAGAACTCATTTCCATTCGTTATGTTTATTAAATCAAATTTTTACTCGATAATTTAAAATATCGCTCAATAGCTTCTTTTGCAGCTTTAGCAGCCAGTTTATTTTTAACTACAACTGACATTTTAAGTGAAACGCTTCTTGAATTAGTAATACTTCTGCTGAGATATATTAACAACAAATATTGCGTGCACGAGTTTAATACGTAGCAGTTGTCGTGCAGAGTTTAATACGTAGCGTTGAAGCCTGCAAATGAACTTTTCAATACAAATTGGTTGATGCATTTGAACCATTTAGAACTCTTTTGAATGTTTATTTCTTTTGAACAGAGCAGATTTAAAACAAAATTTAATATAATTAAGACGTTTGTAAACGTATTGCAAATTTACCTTTTGAATTTGTCTTCAAGGATCGACCTTCGCTCACACTAACGACTTCAATTCCAGTCCTCTAATATCATCTCTTATGTAATTTTTCAAAAAATGATGCCAAACACAGCCATACTGGCCAATTACCTGATAGAGCTGACAATATTTTTTTCATGTATTTTAGGATGAACTCTCCATTCTGCTTATCCATTCTAAATGTCTATCTCGAAATTCATTATATTTACTAGGTACTCCGTTTTATATAATACTAAACAATTGATACAGGACAATTGATGTATTGACACACAAGAAGATTATATTCCGGGTATCATACACATAATTCATAGAAATACCAATAATGATTAGAAAACATAATTTATATTAATACAGGGTGACAAAAATTCACATGTGATAAGATGTCGAGTAAGGTTACTACACATAAGACATCATTAACGATCAACATAACTAGTATACACTATAATATATCATTGAATTAATGCAAAACGCTGGTTGTGTAGTTAGAAAATATAGTGGTCTGAAAAGTGTAACGCTGCGCGTGTTTGTCGGCAGCCGCTGCTGCAGGCGGGGGGCCACGGGACGCCCATCGCGCAGTGCCGGCAGGCGCGCATCACCACGACGCGCGCCATCCCCATGCAGGTGGACGGGGAGGCGTGCCGCCTGGCGCCGTCCGTCATCGACCTCAGCCTGCTCAACCGCGCGCCCGTGCTCGCCAAGCGCCGCCGCAGCCCCGGCCGCCCGCCGCAGAGGTACGCCCGCCCACCTCCCCACTCACTGCCCTCCCCTCTCTGCCCGGCCCTCTGCGCCGACTCGCGATCCCAAGCCTCGGCTCCAACCCTCCACTCCGGTCCTCAGATCTAGCTCCATCCCTTTCCTACGCCCCAGCCCTCGTCCCTTGCCCGCGGACCCAGCTCTCAGCCCCAGCCCTAGGTCCCAATTCACGACTAGGCATTGCAGCCATCAACTTCAATCTCAGCTTTCACCACAGCCCTACATTCTAGCTATCGTCCCCAGTTCTCCTCCTTAGAACTAAGATCCTAGACCTGAGTTCCAGCTCTCTACGTCGGTCCTACATCTTAATCACTGTCCCAAGGTCTCGAGCCTAGAACTTGGTCACCTCTTCCTCCCCTCTCCCCCTATTTTTGGGCTCAGCTCTAGGACCTAGCCCTGTGACCCATCTCTCGGCCCCACTCTCGACCACGCTTTGAGCTTACGCTAACAACTCACACCCTCAGCCTGTCACATCGTCCTTGCCCTCAGCACACAACCTTGACCTGCGCTTTCGGTTCCCTGCCCTCAGCCCTTCCATCATTCTCCGCCTTTAGCGCCAACCCACTCTGGACCCCTTGTCAGCATGCGGCCTAATTTTACCTTTTAGTCTTCAACCCACGCCAACAGTCGTCTGCATTCTCAGCTCCCGCTCTTTGCGACTATTCCCTGTAGATATCCTTCCTTTAGATGTCATTATCTCCATCCATATTCCTAGATATCTCCACCGCTCTCTTTCCTTCCCGTCAGCGCCCGTCCTCCGCTTTCCCCGTTTTGAGCCCTTTCCCTGAGTCTGTATTCTCCCCTCTCTTAATTGAGTTCTTCCCCAATCTAACCTTCTTTTATAGCTTCATTCCTGGATTTATTTTCATATCAATTTTGAATAGAATGTATTACCGTATCTCTACTCATAAAACAAATGAAAAAAATACCTAAACTTTGGATCAACATATAGTCTTCTTTCCGATAATAATAGTTTTTTTCTTAACCAACATGATCATTTGAATGTAAATCATTCATCGTCATCAGTACTGCGAGTACAAATAGAATTAGACAGCATGCAAAGAGGTACGAGTACTAGGAATATTGATATCTTTCATGCATTATGCAGATTTATTGTTCGGTAAACTATGAATGTCGGTAAAGATTTTGTGTACATCTTTCGTAATAAACTGAAGTACGAAATATTTTTATTCTATCATACGATACCATACCGTTTACGTTTACGTTTACCGTTTACGATACCATTTTTCGCTCTATACTGGACATAATTTATGAGGAAACATTGTCTGAGTGGACTTCAGCTGCGCCTTAGCACTGAACGTGCTCACGCCATTGGTGGTCTAGCAACGGGATCCGCTGCTTGAGTTCTACGGCCTCCTGGAGACTTATCACGCGTTCCGTTGTTAATTTCTTGGGTTTGTTGAATAGGATAGGAACTGTTCTCTCGTAGGTCTTCTTGCCTTCGTATATGAGGGGTATTCTCTTAAATCTGCATTTTAAAAAAAATTTTTCAATTTCTTTCTCGGGAAAACTTTTCACTCAACTATTTTTATATATTTAAGATCACAGAAGTTTATACATTTCTTTAATATTTACACAAATCACAAATTATTTGTCTTCACCTTTTCATTGCGCACTCTTTTCAGTGAGTTTTGTCGGAAACTATCCCGCTCAATGAAGTAATCACAAAACCACAGAGCTTGCGCAGAATTAGCAATTGACTTTTGTCAGTTTTCTGAATAATTCGCTTCTTGACACGTAACCCTTGGATTTTGTGAAGTGTTGAAAAATTTTCGGAAACAAAAGCATTTCATCCTCAACTTTGGCGAGACCTCGTAATCGTTTAAATGCCTTTTTAGAAACGTTTTCACGTCCAAAAATTCATGTTTTTAACCATTTTGTATTTGTTACAAACACTTTTAAAATATTTGTACAGCATTCTGAATGCTTATATTTTCTTGTTAAATACCGTAATGCTTATATTCCTGAATATGCTTATATTTTACACTGAAAACAGAAAATGTCAACGTGTACGCGTATATTGCTTAGACAGTCTTAATGCGTAGTAAGAATATAATATGAAATTAAAAATGTTTTAAACAATGAAGGTCGTTTGAAACTGCGCGTGCTGGCTCCAAATTTGCAAATGAAAATGTTCTTCAAGTCAGCTCATTTAGTTTCGTGTAAACCCAGTGGGAGCTGCTCTTGTTAACAACGTCGTGCATCCCTATTACTGTACGTCAGAAACGCTTCTCTTTAGCCTTGGGTTTAAAATTATCTACAGTATAAACACGTAAATATAAGGTACAGGATGTATGACTCAGATTTCTCATTCTGGTGGAAATAAAACTCCCTCTCACGAATTTAATATGCGATGGCCGCCTAGATACAGTTATAAAATGACAAGTAGAATAAAAAGTAACAACTTTTTCTCTCTAACAATGTAACTTTTTTGGAAGAGTCATGTTTGAAACTGTCGCCCAGAGAAACATTTATCTTGGCAAAAAATTAAGCAGCGCTGTTTTAGAACCAAGTACTGTTTGAGACATTTTTTTCGTGCACTGAAAATTATCAAAGTGACCATTATTATAATTTCTACATTTAAGTTACATTTTTCGACATTTTTAAATAATATGATTTACTAAAAACTACCGAACGAAATGGTTCTTTAAAACACATATGATATGCAAATCACATATGATACATATAATGTTAATCTTCAAAAATCTGAAAAGTACATTGACAGTTTTAGTTGCCCTTGAGTATTTCCCATTTTTATGAGATCAAATATTATTCTTCGTAGAAATATTTTGTATTCGATTGCATATATCACTATATATCTTCAAGTCTTGAGATCTGAATGGATCTAGTAAGATAGAAGAGAAAGAAATTGAAATTGTTATAAGAAATAAACTGTTAATAAGTCTGCAAATATGGTGTGTGAAAAGTTAAAACGAGAAATTTAGTGCATGATATAATCTTACTTAGAAAATACTGATATAATAAATATAGTACATATTAATTAGATGACAAATTTTACTCAATGTAGCTCAGTGAATGGTTCTACTCGTTTTAGTCTTTGTCTTTGTGTCTTTTTCAAATTTACATTAACTGAAAATGCAGGTATCTACTCCAACTTCGTTTCTAATAGGGAGAATTGGGGCGTGGCGGTGCGGAGTGGAGAGTTGTGGGGTTTGGACGTGCGGAGGAGGGAGGCGGAAAAGATTGTGAAGAACTTCAGGAACGTTCACTAAAATACTGTGTACCCTGAATCTATACTATTATAATTAAATCGCTTTAACCGAGGTTACATTTGGAAATATTAGCACAGTCCATACATATTCCCAACAATAAAGTGATATACGTATTAGTGTTTGCGCAATGTTTAATATAAATTATGGATTATTAAAAAAAGCTTTCTGCTTGATACTTGCTTTTTCTAAAGCCATACTTAGCTGCTAGAAACCTGTGGTTAAATCGAGGGGAGAGGCTGGAGAAATTCAAACGGAGGTCTGCGCCAAAGTTGACGGGGCATATGCATCTTAGATCTACGGTTGAACTACTTTTCCCACTAATTTCAAATAACAGTTGATGCTTTGAAGTGATCGAGTAGTATGATCTAGCAACATAAAAATTCGGATATAAAAGTTGTAAATGTAAGTTACTCAGATAGCTCCAACGACTGTTCTTATGGGCACAAGTAACAATGAGGGAACGGGAACTGCAGCAAAATTAATTCGGACATTTTATCGGTTATAAATTTTTCAGATAGATACTCGTATTTTCAGTTCACAAATGTCAATATTTTTCAGAAATTTCTTTTCCCGCTACTCGTCTCAATTGATAAATCAGGGCACTGTATTTTATTTATTTAACGTCAAAAACAGTTAAACACTATGTACAAATTACTAACAACAAACTGTGAGAAGCGGGTTGCGTGATTTCGAAATTCTTCATATGAAGTTCCTGGATGCAGAGAGTTGTACAACTGCCGCCATGTAATATACTCTAACCCGATGGCACCGGCAGTCAGAATTAAGGAGCTGAATGGAAATGATAGCAATTAATGCAGATTTTCTAGGATAGTATAGTTGGTTTAGTGGATACGAATACACATAATACCGCATATTTCGAAAACTTCTAACATATAGCTATAAACTTACAGAAATGCTGACGAAAACGATTACGTTACTCTTTGGACTTAAATCTAAGAATTGAAGTTTCAAGTAGCAAAGGAATGCGTGACTCTTTGGACTGTAATCTAAGAATTGAAGTTTCAAGTGTCAAAGGAACGCGTGACTCTGGACTGTACTCTTGCAATTGTAGTTTGAAGCATCAAAGCAACGCGTAACTCTGCGGACCGGAAGTGCAGTTTGACGTGGGCGTGCGCGTGCGCAGGGCGGAGGACGCGGCGGTGGAGGAGCTGCGCCTCAACGTGCTGCGCATATCCATGGCGGACTACGAGCGCCACCACTACGACAAGGAGCGGCTGCGCGAGGCCGCGGCGCCGCTGGGCGAGCTGTCGGTGGCGCCGGCCGCCGACCTGGAGACGCTGCGCCGCGAGGTGGCGCGCCTGGCGCAGGAGGACGGCCGCCTCGCGCCCGACTGGTGCTTCCTCGACTGTGAGTCCCATTAACAGAAGCGTTGCGATGCGGTGGAAAAAATCGATCTTTCAAAGATTATGAAACATTTTAGAGTTAATACTAATGTGATACACAACACGTCAATGTTAGTTTAAAGTATATGCTGCTTTAAATTTGACTGTTATCTTATTTTATAATCAATATTCTATTAAAGTCAAGGTTCAATTTGCAGTTAAAGTTGCAGATGTTACCACGCTTTAAATACCCAAAAAAGGTAACAACACTGGAGAAATGTTGCCAATAGCAGAATGCCTGGGGATTGATAATAGAGGCAGTTGTCAATTTCTGTTGATTGCAAGCAATACACTAATAAAATAGACACTAAAATTTTTTAATGTCATGAGAATTTGTTTTAAATGTAGATGTTGTGAAAACGTTACTTTTTTGCCATCCCTACTCTCGCTAGTTCACATGCACAACAACGTCTAGTAATTCGGAGAAATGACTAGCAGAGTACCTCAAGGCAACCCTTTGCAATGACGAGGTCCAAAATAATGCTTCAGTCGTTTGGATTAAACAGATGTCAAAGTTTCACATCCCTACCTATTCAGATATCTTTCCACCTACTGTTGTAATTTTTACAGTTGCTATTTGTTCCCATATTGTAGCACGAGTATGTTCTGCTTGTAGCAGCAGTCAGTAGAACCTTATAATTGTAGCAAGAGTCAGTAGAGCCTATTGAACAGAAATCACAATTTTCTCCGATTTTGAGGACTGGAAGCTTGTCGTTTCAAAGGGTCGAATTGTTGCAATTGCAGTGTCTCTGACTAGATTGGAAACTCGTTTTTAACTCAGTCTAGGTTTGAGACTCGTTGCCGGTGAATTTTTGACGAATTCAGCTAATGTCTGGAGGAGAATTCTTGCAATCAGCTGCTCCGATCGGTAGTCTTCCATGATTTCTTCAACATCAGGCAAAGCAGTACCTTAACAAGCAGGCCACACCCCATGCGCGATGTTTCCTTCCTCCTGTCCTCCTTGCCTCCTCCTCTCCCCTTACACACACACATACAAACGAACACATTTGTATGAACTTCACTTCAGTCTCGGCGTGGGTGGAGCCCCGATAGGAAGCGGGGCCTGGAGGGCAGAAGGGTCTTCGCGAAGGTTGGTGCCAGATCGCGTGTGCCAGCTGAGGAGCCACCACCTTGTAAACGAGTAACGAGTATGCACTTATGCGACTGATGAAATTAAGTAGTTGATGCGCCAAGAGACAATAGATACTCGCTAATTAATAGTGAATTTTATTGTTTGCGATACTGTTGATTCGATATTGGCAAAATGAGATTGTGGGACCTGTAGGAATCAAATTCATAACCGACTGCCGTTTTTATTATTTGCCTAGTTATTTCCAGACATATGCCGGAGCAGCCTCCTGTATCTGATCATCCTTTCATATCTTCTCATTATCATCGTCAGCAGCAGTACCCTCTTCACAGAAACATCTCTTCCAATTCATACTGCGTGCCTTAGGAGAGCCTCCTGTTTTAACCCACGTCATAACCGGCTTACACCGATGGGAAGGGGCCTTGCAAACCCCAGCGAGCTAACGTTCACGCTATGGCACAAATTCGAGAATATTCATTTGAGTTCTGACCGAGTCAATCTATTCTCGATTGATTTGCTTCATTCAGATCCTTTCAGATTTCATTATCTTACTTATTTCAGTTCAATTCGATTTTGTTCATTCTCTTCCAATTTTAATACATATAGCCGATCCTTTGTGATTGAATTCAACACCAAATTATTAATTTGACTTATTTCTTATATGATATTTTTATTGATTCGATTTGGTCCATTTCATCTGATTTGGTAGTCCATCCATTTCATTTGTATACGATATTAACCATTTCAATGGTCTTCAACATAACCCAATGAGATTTGATTCAATTAGTAGGTTCACTCATTTAATTAGATATCTCAATTCTAACAATTTTCATCTCAATTAGACTAAGCGCGATCCAATCACACTTCCTTTTATCCAAACGAGCGGAGCTTGTTGAATGTGGTTCTACTCGAGTCAATCCGAGCTCTGCCTACCAGCTCTTGTCAACCGCAGGAGCAGCTCTCACGTCACGAAAGCACGCTTCCATTCAGAATGTGACACTCTTCTGTGTTACATTTAATTCCCTATTTTCCATTCCGGAATACTCTCTTGTCAGGTTACGCCAAACTTGAATACATCTAGTATTTTATTGAGTGATAGGTAGGCGCAAACTACTGAGGTCAATGGACGCGTAAGTTTAGTGCTTGCGATATCCCAGAAGTTACTGTAAGGCACACTACACTAAGGCGTGAAGTTGCAAATCGCAACTGACTGAGGTTGCTCAGGGCATCAAATGACGTCACTCCAGTGCCTCCGACGAGAAGTACTAGGTTTCGAGAATCAACGGTGGTAGGATTAGCTAGGTCGCATTCAGTCGCTGCCTGGAGAAGAATTCTAGCGGCCGGCTGTTCTAATCGGTAGCTTTCCGTGGTTTCTCCAATCAACACTAGGCAAATGCCGGAGGAGTATCCTAATAAAAGGGCCGCGGACCGCACGATACCATTCCTTCTTCTGACACATACTTACACTCACATGCACTACATTACCTAGATGTCTGGAGACCAGTCGAGAGCTTGGTGCTTGTCCGAGCTGGGGTGGTGTCCCACTGCTGTTGGGAGATACCTCATTGCGAAAATCCCTCGAGCTATCGTTTAGGACGGTGCCTGATAACGTCCAGGTGGGGAAGTTTCACGCCACCTCCCGCGATAAAACATACACATCACTTAGGGCACTAATGACCAGAGCAGTTGACGCTCCCGGAACCACGCAGTAATAGATGAGTGGATGAAATGCAATGGCCGCGGCGTGCGCGCGCGCGTGTGGCAGGCTGCACGGCGGAGCGCTTCTTCCGCGTGGACCGCGCGCAAGAGCACCTGCACTACGTGACGGACGTGGCGGCCGACCAGCTGTTCGTGCTGGACGCGGCGGAGGCGGCAAGGCCAGGCAGCTCCGCGGGCACCCCGGGAGCGGCGGCTCTTCGCGAGGAGGACCCGGCGGCGGCGGCGGCGCGGCGAGGCGGCGGGCGACGCGCGCCGCTCCACGCCCGACTCCCCGCCGCGCCCGCAGACGCGCTGGAAGGCGACGAGAACCACGCGCCCGAGGACGGCGAGGACGCGCCCGACCGGCGGCCCGACGCCGCGGACCCGTCCTCGCCGCCCCCGCTGCCCGCCAGGGAGCCCGTCAGGTAAGCCCACCGCCCACCCGCCTCACTCAAAGCGCTTCCTCGGCTTTACTCCCGCTGTGGGGATCTCCCCGAGACCATGTTTGCACTCTATTTTTTTAGGGTGACTGTTCATTGCATGGAATGTTGTTATCTAATTTTGATGCTTCAGTAGTGCTTGTAAAAAGACTGACTGATGTCTTATTTACGCTTTGTCGATAACAATGTCAAACGAGAAATATCTGAGTACGGAGTCACACTTCGTTTACTTAGCTTCCTTCATTTAGTTTCTTTAGCTCGCCTTTTCATTTAGCACGTCACTTCGGAAGTACTTTAATAATTTTTTAACACCGGTGTTGCAAGTCAATCTTTCTCAATACTAAAGATTAGCAGAAATGCATTGCGTTTTTTAGAACTCGTAAGTCATAATTTTTAATTTTTAAGATCTGTGAAAAACAAATTCATTTCTTGTCAATTTCTCATCTTAACGTAAATGTCTTTGAAAATCATTAATTACGAAAAAATATTTCTCCAACTGTCAACTATAATTTGAAGAAATACATTAATCGTTTTTTTCATAATAAAAAGAAATAAAAGGAAGATCGTAACATTGTGGAACAAGTTTCGATATTTTTACTTATCAACTCTCACGTTTTGTCCTTACTGGCAGTCATAATTATCAGTCAATAACAACTAATAAATTACGCTATATAATAGCGCTAATAGGGCATGCTTAACAATGTTGAGAAACATACGTTGCAAATCGAACAACATCGTTTCTAGAACAAGTACGAGTTCCTTGAACGAGAGAATTTTCTTGAGGCAACCTAACCGTTTAACGCATGGATGGTTTCCAAATTAAAGTGCGTTTGCATGTACCTCACCCCTTGTTCTGCATACGTCGCATGTCGCATGTTGCATGTCTGACACAGCCTGCGTGAGCGCCTGTTCGGGTTGAACCAAGGATACGTCGTCGCCTACAGGTGAGTCCAACGTCTCTTCCCCCCCCCCCCCCCACACACCCTCCTCCTGCGAAAATGTCGCGTTTGAGGATCGACTAAATGCCTCGTACGCCGAAGTATAAATGTAGGTATGTGGATCAATAATATAATTCGAGAGATTTTATCAATTTTACTTTACTATTGTTCTCATTAATTAACTTTATTCGTTTTATTCACCGCTCGTCTTATTTGTAGCAGTACCAAGGGAAGAGCCTCTGCTCACCGATTATTGTTTTTCAAAGGTTTACATTTTTTGGGAGAATCAAAATCATTGACTGTGTTCATGATGTTGTTCTTCAATTGTTGAATAAATGATACAATTTTTCGTGTTTGATTGAATTTGAGAGACCACGTCTTTGGGCCTTGGTAACAAAATCTGGACTATTCACTTGGAAACTGAAAATTCAGAATTCGTTTTGGAAATATTTATAGTATTTTAAGTCTTAGTATAATATATTAGTTTAAAACACGGCTACTCTATGAAAATTAGCCTTTATTTGCTATAAAAATGAAATAGCTTTTGTCATTAATGGTAAATACAAAAAGTGTCGCAAAGGGTATTTTTATCAATGGTATTACTTGAAAATGAATCATGTTTTGTTTAAATGAATAACAATTAATAGATTTAATTTATTAATTTAAGAATATTGTCTAATACTTCAATGGAATAAAAAATTAAGCTGGAGTTCCGGATTGACTAGTTTATCTATAATTCTGCACATGCCAACTGCAATGGTCATTAGTCCCGTGTTTATGCCTGGCGGTGGCGGTGTTCCTGGCTCGCTGGCTGCCGAGGCCCGACGCCGATCAATGTGGGCTCCGGCGCTCCCCCTCCCTTGGTAATGTATGGGGCCATTCTACCTAGGCACTGCTAGACATTTACCAAAATTTTCTGTTTTTGAACTCACGTTTGTATTCTGCCTCACGTTGTGAACTTTGATGCGCGGTTTTGAGAGTTATTCCCTTCAGTAATCGGGATACCGTGTCAATTAGTTCATTTCCTTTCCTGAAAAGTCTTTAAACTCCAAAATGTACTCCTATTGCTCAAAATTCTTTAAGCTAATAATTAGATCGTTTTATGTTAAGATCTTTTACACGTAACATTTAAATGCAAACCCAATACATGTTGTCAATTGAAAATATCTGATCCTTTAGATGACTCGATGATTTCAAACCATCAAGATTGCAGAAAATTGCGTTTATCTAAGGTTTTTCAAATGAAAAATATCTTACTTTTGGATACTAAATTAAAAATAGTGAACTTCTTTAGGTTTATTACTTTCTCGCATTTTCAAAGGTATTTCCTAAGAAGAAAAAGTTAAGTAATCCTGAAAACGGCGATTTTTTATTTGAATTGCTTTCCTTGATCCCTTACGATCTTATTCATTGTAGTTAGGTTAAAACAATAGAGACCTTTAACAACACAACAATATGCATTTAAATATAATTAGAGTTTATAACAGCTATTGTGTTCGTTACGGAAATAGACCTAATTAAAAATTAACGATACTGATTTATATTCCACAGTAATGCGTTTATTCTACTAACAAATGACAATTTTACAATGTTCACTTTAGGAAGACAAAATTGCAAGGGGCAGAAAATACATCAATGTGTGAACGTCTGTCAAGACGTTTTTCGCTTTGCATTTCTTTAGAATATTTAGCATATTTTTCTCAAAACAAAAATAAAACTTGATTGCTGAAGTACATTATGTTCTTTGTCTTTGGAAAGGTTTGTTCAACCCACTTCATCAAAGGTATTAAAGAGTTATTCGAATATACTATCAATTTAACAGAATTTTAAAGGAAATACCAACCATTCATTTTGCTTATAGCTCGTTGAGCCATAGCCAGTGAATCAACGCAACGCGGTGGCTGCAAACACGTGAATTAAGTCTTTGGAATTAACTCGCCCACTGACACATTGGACGTCGGTCGTCTGTGCATTAATCTGCGCGCAGCGGACATTTCGCAACACACTCGGATCGATCTCGATTCGGCCCTCCGGAATGGCTCGACCGACGGGGTTAGCCACGCTGTTGATTTCACAGTATCAGGTTCGAGTGGAGTTCAGCTGGTACAGCCACCAGCGTTGTGGTTTCCATTGTTTTACGTATCGTCGCGACCTGGTTTGTGACAGCGATAAGGACTTAGAATTTGCATGTTTCATTTGAAATTTACACTTAGTACGTAGTTCAGTGATGTAAACAGAATAAAACAACTGGAGTATTTAAATGTAATTGTATTTAATTCTTGCGAAACTTTATACTGGTTGTTGTAAATGTGATACACAGACCTACAATATATCGTAGAGCACAGCGCCGATGCTACTCGAACGCAGAAGCGACGACATTTTCAACAAGTTTCTGTGACGATTCCTATTGTTTAAGTGTAATTACTATTCTTCTTTTTAATTGAATGAAAATGAAATAAAAATTATTTGATACATTTTTTCTAAGAATTTGTTGTTAGGTTTTTTCTGCGGTGCCTGGGTTTTCTAATCTAATAGAAAACGTAAACATATAGTTAATATAAGGTGACTCTAAGTTATTTACCACGTAATAAATTTAAATTATATATTGTTATCTTACGTAGATTACTTCTATTTTCCAATTCATACATTGTAACAACATCAAGTTTTATTGGCAAAGTTTATTGTGTTCATTGTGACTACCTTTTGCCACTGCAGATATCCATTTCGTACGGCAATTAATCCCTCATACGTATATCATGTCCGCATCTACCCGAGCTACTGCTACTTTAATCCGTTGACGAAGCTCCTCGAGACTTATTGGAAGTGGAGGGTTGTACACGTTATCTTTAATGTAATCCCGCAGATAAATATTCAGCGGCATAAACTCGGGAGATCGTGATGGCCAAGCAGTGCCCCCCCCCCACCATGTTCAATACATGCGGAAGTGGTGTGGGATAGGCACGTAGTGACCTCGTGGTGGTAATGAGAAGGTGCTGCATCTTGTTGGAAAATAAAATTCTTCGCCATACGTTTTTCAGCTGTATATCAGATACTCGTAGTTTTGCAACATATTTACATATGTGATGCCGGTCACAGTCGTCTCATGAAAGAAGAAAGGTCAATACACTTTCACCGCTTAGCGCACAAAAGACATTCAGTTTCGGTGAGTCACGGGTACATTCGAGGCATTCTGTCGGTTTCTTTCTGCCCCATATCTTCACTTTGTGACGATTAACAGTATCAGTAAGGTGAAAGTTTGCTGATCGTCACTGAGCACAAGCTTAGTAAGAAAACTATCATCATCTTCAATGCTTTTCATCATGACCGCACAGAACTCATAACGTTCCTGCTTGTCATTAGCACTCAGCACCTGAGGCAGTTGCTGCTGATACCCCTTACACTGCAGTCGTCGTCGTAAAATTCTCCATTTCTCAGGTTGAGGAAGGGTCATCTCCAAACTTGCTCTTGTTGTAGACTTCTTTGAACTTCTTGCATATGTTCTTTTCACGGCTTCTACAACGTAGTCTGCTACAGGAGAGCGCCCTTGTCTTTTATCTCGGTGTCCCACACAACCTGTTTCCACGAATCGATCGTATCATGCTTTGATGGTTTTCGCCTGCGGTGGAGCTTTTTGATACTCTGCACGAAAACGTCTTTGTACGGTAATTTGCGATTTAGTTTCATGAAACCACAGACAACACTACGCTCGCTCCACACCGCTGTTCACCTCCATCGCGACTGTTGGCAATGCTGCATGCGCTGTTTCACATTTCCACCGCCAGACGAGCGCGGATAGTGCATGCAACGAAGTCTACCGACCTGGTCTAAAACTTAATGATAAGCCATGAAGTTTGAAAAAAATCCGAATGAATTTCCGTCAATCGTTTCGAAATTATTCATTAATACATATATTTCCGGCTTTTGAAATGTTTATAGTTTTTCGGTTCGGCATGATTATAATTTGATTTTTAACATTTTAATGAATTAATTTTTCCGTTTTCTCTATTATAACTATCATCTTCGTTGATTCTTTTCTCCTTAAGTATATTTATAATTTATTGTTTCCATGATATATGTGGACTTCCCCGTCTTCCGTTTTCCTAATGGTCCCCAATAAAATACTAATTTTGCTAATCTCCTATCTTTCAACCCTTGTATGTGACCAGGTTAGTCGTTTTTGTATTTATATAATCTATAATATATTGTGATATAATTGTATTCATATTTTCTCATAATTTCATTTCTAATTTTATCCCCTTTTTTAAAATTCTTGCTGATCTTCTCCAATAATTCATTTCCGTTGTCGATAATTGTGCTTTCAAGTATGAATTTAATGTTTAACCTTCTGATCCATAAGTCATGATTCTTCGAATTACCTCTTTTAATATTTTAATTTTGTTTTTTGTAACACCTTCATCCCACAAAATACTATTCAAAATAAAAATAGAAATTGTCATTTTCCCTGAATTTGTTTTTGACAGAATTTCTTCAAACTGCTTTCGATCATTTGTAAATACATATATACATTTGTAAGTATAGCTCTCCCCGTTTTTTTTTCTTTAAAAACCGAATCTTTCCTATTGTTTCCGAATATCATATATTTCATATTCTATATATTAACTCCACTTGTTATATTCTTAAATTAATGTGCTTGTCATAAATTCTATATCGTCCAAATCTTGTGCTATTATCAAGTGATCATTATCAAATTGTAAAGTATAAATTGTATTCATTTACTGGTAATCCCATTTTATTATATTCTTGTTCCAAAGTTTCAAACAATTTTCAGTATAAATTTTAAGTAATGTATGTGATATTCAACAATATTGACCTTCATTCATTTCAAATTCAGAAGATATAAATTTTTCAAATTTTAGTTTTGAAAATGAATTTTTTTATAACCTTTGAATGTATTTTATTATAACTCGATTAATGTAACTTGCAGTGAAAGCTTCTCTTTAAATACACGTAATGAAACTTAAAAAGATCATGTGCCTCATCTTTGATTATTTATTAACCATCTAAACTTGAAAACAGTTCATCTCCATGTTTACTCACACAAAAAAGAACGGAATGGGAAACCCTGTCGCGACACTGGGAAATGACGCGGCAGCGACTGTCAGGGTGAGGGGCTGCATGACACCGCGTCGCGCCTGACGGATCTTTGAGGTAACAACTGCCAAGCGGCAGCGCACCAAGACACTGACGGGGGCGATATGAGAAGCGCGTTCCCTAGTCGTGTGGAGTGAGTGGTCTTTCTTTCAGATCTAGAAAGCTGAAGACCATTCGGTGACATTCATTCCCATTTTTAGGATGGCTAGTCAATCAAAGTCTCTTTTATGATACATATAAAGTAAATATGCACTCACATGCTCAAAAATTGAATAATATCGTGTTGAAAGTTTTTATTGCGCCCGATAGTATTTCAGAATGATCATGGAAAAGTATATTTGTCCGACAGTATTTGAAGTGTCATGAAATGCTCTTACAAGCATGAAATGTTTGTGATATTTTCACGAATTTGTTAACGAAGACAATAATCAATTCTTTTAATAAATTTGAAAACGAATAAAACAATAAAAGTCTGATTTTATCAAAATTGTAGTTGTAGAGTAGTATGCCAAGACATGTAGAAACAAGCACAGCGAGCATATAAGTCTTTATTTACTTAAGCGTAAAGTACGTGTAGTAATTTCATTCAAATTGTTATATACAGGCTGGATTAATATTATTTTAATGTGCGAAGATTATAAACGAACGAAACTGTTTTAAAGAAATGTTTTACATCGATCTGTTTATTAGTTTAATTTTACGTGGATAAACAAATGAACAACATCTATACATGTCTTGACCAACGAGCGAAAAGGAAAGCTTCATCTCATGATTGGATAAACCAGAAACCAGATGATTCATTAATTGCACAGGTGACAAAATTATTATGAAAATCAGAATTTCCATTTATAAAAATATGCATAATAATTTAAAATAGCCCGAATCTGTTAAAAGTACCTGCTATTTCGGAGTCATGCCAACATTGCACCTTAAATTACAAATAAATGATTTTTAAATCAAGAGTAGGAGATTTGCTAAATTTCTTCCATTTCTTCAACAAATAGTATTTTTATCTGAAATTGAGTAATGTCTGTCGGTGTAAAATTAAGACAAAATAAGACAGTCGATTTTCGTTATTATTCATTCACATTAACTTTCGTGGCCTTTCGGGACAATGGTTTTGAATCTTCAACAGGTGTATACGACTTATAGATGAAAATAAATTAACTAAATCCAACAACACAACTAAACGGATTGTCTCATCTAAACAAATGTCTAAATTACCTTCAAACTCTGGTCATATTTTGAAATTTACATTTGATCCTATTCATATGGTCCGTGAGCCAATCGCTGTTCCTGATCTCAAGACATGTCCATTTAAAGTTTCAATATATTTGGAGGTATTGAATCCGGAGATCAGAACCAACAAATGGCCCCTGACCTCATGTGAGTAGTGGCATAAGTAAATAAGTAAAATGGCCCAAGAATAAACATCTAATTTAAATATATATTTTAATTTAATTCATTTACTTATTTATTGCACTTCTGGAGAGTATTCCAAGCCAATGAAGCGAAAATCATGAAAAATGAAGATGAATGAACAATAAATAAAAAGTCTACTGCACCTCTTCTCCTATGATTCTTAGAAGCCGGGCTGCAAGATAACCTGCCCTTTGGGTGGTCCGTTGTGTACGGTCATGCTCCCTCCAAACTTAGAAGCGGCGGCGGCGGTGGAGGCGGCGGTGGCAGGTTGACTGCGGGAGTCCCTCAACAACGCCTTGCTTTCTGGCCCCAGTGCCCGTGGCCTGTTTTGTCGCACCCCACCCTTTGCCGTGCGGTCAGGCCGCTCCGCCCCGCCCCGCCCCGCATCGCCCCGCCAACGCCCTGTCGCCGCCGCCGCCGCTCACGGCCTTCCCCCTTGTTGCAGCCACCTGCTGGAGAAGACCACCGACGGCGTGCTGCGCGCCGCCAAGCTGGGCGACCTCAAAGCGGTGAGCGCGCCCGGCGGGCTGCCTACCCTGCTCCGCGACAGGCGCATGCGATCTCGGGTTTGGAAGAGTTTTAGCTGAAGAAATTCAGGCCTGCAGATCTTTCTGGCCACATGTAGCATGAATGTAACATAATTCGGCATTGAGAGACACAGGGAAATACTTTTGATGACAGAATAGATGTTTAATGTTTCGTTACAAGTGTAATTTGTGTCAAAGAATGAGACTCCCTTTTCTTATCGTGCTAGATATCGCCATTGATCAAAAAATGACTTTAAAAGAAATATAATACATTACAATAAATTCAAAGAAGATTTTTGGAGATATATCACGCTAATTGTGATAATAAATTAATGTAAATTTAGAACTGGACAGATTAACCAATGTATAGCATGTTTCTGCAATAACGTCAAATAGACAAAACCTACGCATTGGATATATCTCAGATTAGACAGATAATTACGGTAATGGGACGAAATTCAAAGAGAACCATAGCACTTATGTGACTGATAGCTGTCTCATTCAAACAATTATTTACTAAAAATGTAGAAGGAAAATAAGATAAAATAGATCAAATTTAAACCTTATTCCGCTTTTCTGCAGCTTTATATGGCTGAGTGTTCATCATAGCACGATATTCATAAATACTACGTAAGGTTAATTAATTTAGACTTGAATTCGCATATTGAATAAATTTCAGAGCATACGTAAAAATCATCCATTATTATCTGAAACGAAAATTGTAGGTGGAAATTTCATATATAGGTGATGCCAGATCAAGAAAATTCCAGTCCCAGAATCTCTCACTGAAAATAGCTGCTTGTTTTCCTTACAATTTATATTTCACAATACGAGAGTGATAATGTCCGTAAACGAGCATTTTCTATGACATTTTTCTATATCATTCATTACTTATGTATTTTATTTTAGTCTATTATAGTGATTAACGTAACGAGTGAATAAAGGGTGGTATGATTGCATGAGTGCTATGTTCAATAAAACGAGCAACGATAGGAGCGAGTTTTCTTATTTACCACGAGTGCAATTATACCCCTTTATTCACTTTCAAAATGTTTTTCATTTCCTTTTAAAAATAGTTTTGATTTTGAAAAAATCGAGCATATCTCTACCATTTGAGGTATCTATTTGATTACGTCATATCGCTTCTGAACATGACCTGTTTCAATATTCCTTGCATTGTGTATGTACCATCAATATAGTTTTCCAGAGAATAATGGTCGAAAGAAAAAATAAGTAACGTTTAAAAAAGGAAGATATTTGACATATTTCTGATTAAATATAAGAAGATGAAAAATCCATGAAAACATTACTTCGCTCGGAAAGTAAGGGCTTGTACGACAGAATAAGTGGTAGTGTTGGAAAGGAGAAAGACGATTCTGTTTTGACTCTCGTTCTCGAAAGAAGACACTCGTGCGTCGGTTAATTTCGCTTTAAAGTCGAAGGAGGTCCGACATATAGCCCGAAGAAACAGTAGTACACGCGATTTCAGAGTTAACATTGTTGTACATTTTTTTCAATTGAGAGAGAAAAACGTTGAGATAGCCGGATCGTAAACGACAATGGCTTTTGAATAATAGTAAACTATATTCACTATCTAGTTGTGAAGAACACAGGCACTTTTTCACACAACGCTCGACCTCATCCACGACAAACTAGTTTAAAAGTACTTTTCTTTCAATTTCATACTGGTAGTGGTTTTTTTCAGACACTTCCGTCTCCTGCGCTTTCATTCATTCTCTTAATTAGCGTTGACTTCCAGCTATTTATTTTCCATTCTAATTATCATCTTTTTCTTCAACATGTCTTTAATTTTTCGAACTCCTGCGGTTCCCTTTTTAAAATTTGCATTCTTTCGATGTGCATTGTCTTTTATATATGTCTCCTTCATACTTGTCTAAAAGTAGTGATTAAGAGGGAGCGGATTTCTATGATTTTTCATATTTTGTCCGTTGTTTCAGGGCGTAGCTAAGTGAACTTTCTTGATATTTGGTTAATATTGGATGTTATGTAGACTAATTTGACCATATTTGGCCGATTTTTTCCTTTGGTGCATATTCATGTAGTTATAGATACATATTTGGAAACTTTCCTTAAAACAGAGACTTATCTCTAAAAATTTCATCTTTTCATAGAATCTACTATTTATTTATGATCGTCCATAGTTTAGAATGAGTTTGTCACAGTTCGCGTTTTTTTCTTTTCTCTACAATATAAAATACTTGTACAAATGTAGGATATTTCTGGATATCACATTTTTGAAACCCAGAAATGCAACTAGACATACAATGTTTTTCAGAAATGTGAAAATTTACTTCAATTATTTCTCCCGCGAAATAAGGTTGATTGTATTATGTTTGCACAAAAAGAGTAGTTTCATTCGAAGCATGCTTCTACTTAATTTTATTAAGAAATATTTACAGGATATTAAATATTGTTAATTTGAATTGTATATTAAAGTGCTTATTTCAGAATGTTTAGATCATAAATGCATATTTATAAAAGCATATTTCAAGATTTTTGGGCATAAAAATCCTCTTTCTAGTGATTAATATAATTTACTGATATGGATGGTTTGGAAGAAGTTAGTTGTCAGTAAGCACATTTATTATGGTTCTCATTTAATTTCCCTCTGGAAAAATTACAGACGATAAATGTCACTACGATAGCAAGTTTTCTTCTACTTTACTTTCCCAAACGGATGTGCAAGTTATGCAAAACTGCCACTCTCACCACAAATCCTCCAAGTCTATTTGATTTTCAGCTCTTTACTCATGGAAGTTGATTTTTCCAAACACTTCACAAGGTGCTTCGAAGCCCATCTATCGAGAGACTCTGGGCCAGGAGAACGAGCATGTAAGCCGCGTTGTCTTGCGTCAAAGTGAGACGCGCTCAAAGTCCCGGGCCGCGCACGGCACGCGTCGCACAAAGCGGCTGCAGAATAAACAGGGCGGCGGGTGGGTCCTTTCCCCCTCGACTCAATTTTCACAGGTTGCCCAGCGCGCGCGGTGAAAGGGCCGCGGATCGACAACGTTACTCCCTGACGCTCACACTACCTCAACACCAAAAGACCAAACAATCCGACCCCAGGGGAAACGTCACAGATGCGCCCAAAAGGTTTGCGAAGGTTCGCCCGATCGCTGCGGAATTAGCAAATAACATTTTACTCAAATGGAACAAAATCGCCCAAATTGTGGGGAATACTCCAAGAAATTCGTTTGTGATTTTTTTATGTCAACGTTTTTGCAAAAGACACATAATTTACGGTCGATGGTAAGTGCAGCGTTTGGTCCCGAATAGCGATTTCGATCCACAGCACGAGAGAGCCGGAAGGGCGTGGCGATTCTCTCAAAGGACATCGTTCTGTAATCCTCGAAGCAACTCCACGACTAAGCCAGCACGCGCGCACTGCTAATAAAAGCAAACGGCGGCATCAAAAAGAACAATAAAATTGGGTAAATAGAGATAGAACGACCACAGAGTTTGCCTTTCACCATTTCTAAATTAGGAAATAACATCGACACAAAACGCAACAAAAATTTCGGCGCCTCTGCTAAAATTCAATCGCCACCCTCCCCCGGGACGCGGTATTTCACCCAGCGAACAAGGGCGTACAATTAGAGCAGCGGATGGCGAAGGGGCCGGGGCGCGTGGCGCGGCCGCGTCGTGAGCGGAGAGAAGGGGGAGGAGGAACAGAGCCGGGGTAGTGACGAGACGGAGAGGACAGGAGTTGATTTGGAGAGAGAGAGAGAGAGAGAGAGAGAGAGAGAGAGAGAGAGAGAGAGAAAGAAATGGGGAGCATAACAAAGTGAAGTGCTGTCGGACGGAAGAACATGAAGTCATAAAACGTAGGAAAACGATGAGAATATATAATAAAATCTGAAACGTATTGGAACGAAGTGTTGGTGATGAAACATAAGTATGTGTACGTACGACCAAGGATCATAAAAAAGAAGTGGACAAAAGGTTAAATGCGCAAGAAAGGAAGTAAAAGATGTCAAGAAAGAATGTAAACGCTTCAACAATGGGATGAGAAGAATATGATAGCGAATAGCGAACAAAGAGACTCCTTATTAGCGAGCGAAAGTTATTAAAATACATTCGAACGTGCGAAAAACCGACCGGAGGTAGTAAACACTAAAGAAAGAAGTAGAGCCATGGAGTTGCAACGGCAAGCGGGTTAGCCAGACTTCGAGGCACCCGTCGGCGGTAGCTGCGGAGCGATGAGGTGACGGCGCGGCGGTGGGCGGCTCGGCGCGCCGTCCCGTGTTATTCTTAGATTCCACTGAGTAAGCACAAACAAGTGTCCGGAACAGCTCAATATTATTTCAACGCCCCGGGCGCGGGAAACGAACGCTAATTAATAAGGCGCGACTCCTCGGATCCGATCCGTTCTTCTGCCATCCGCCACCGCCGCCCGTTACTCGTTTCGGCGCGGGCGCCGTTCGCCCAGCGTCTCCGGGGGAGGGGGGGCGGTTCGAAGCGAAGTCGCGCTTATTCTTGTCTCGCGCCCCCCGCACATCCGCCCGCCGCCGCCCCCGCGCGCCCCTCCTCCGACAAGCGCGAGTCAGATCCGACGCCCGCCGACAGGCGCTTGTCCCGCGCCCCTCTTCATTTCGCTCCCATTCTACTGTCAGTCACTCCTCGCGTCATTGTGGCCCAATTCGATTCCTTTGTCTCTCCTTATCTTCGTTACGCGACGCGTCTCTTTCTTTTCGCCCGCGCGCGGGCAGGGGCAAAGCTTCCTCGTTCGTTTCGCGGCAGCGGCCTGTCGGTGTCGCCCCGCCCCGCCCCCTCCGCTCGCGACGCCCTCGCGCCTCCGCACCGCTCGCTCCGGCGCCTCCCTTCTAACTTTTGACTCGGCGGCGCCCGCATGCGCCCCGCAAACGCCGCCGCCATAATAGCTGTTAACACCTCCGCTCTCGTCGGCGCCGCGCCTCTGCCGACTCGCAAGAAACCTGCCTTTGATGCCGCCCTGTCGCGGCGGCGTCCAAGTCGCCACCTCGCGGAAATAGGTGTCGCCTGCCGGGTTGTGGAGGCGC